CACACACACACACCAGAGACAACTTGTGGGAATTGGTTCTCTTCTTCTACTTATTGGGGTTCTAGGGATCAAACTTAGGTTGGCAGGGTTGGCAGCAAGCCCCCTTGCCACACTGAGCCATCTCACCAGCCCATGTCAAATTATTTCCTACAGCAGCTGCACGGCTTTACATTCCCTCCTGTGACATCTGGAGTAGCAATTTTTCCATATCCTGACATTTGTCATTGTCTTTCTTGTTCATTATATGCCATCAGATTTGTGGGGACACTTCTTTTCTTTCTTTTTTTTTTTTTTTTCTGTCTTTTTGAGACAGGGTCTCCCTGTAGCCCCAGCTGGTCTGGAACTCACTATATAGACTAGGCTGGCCTTGAACTCACAGAGATCCACCTGTCTCTGCCTCCTGAGTGCTGGGACTAAAGGTGTGCACCACCAGGCCTGGCTCTGTGGGGAGGGGCATTTCTACAGCTCCTCCAGCCACGGGCTTTGCCAGGCCTTCACCCCTGCCAGCTCACTGGGGATTGTCTATTGCAATCATCACTTCCTTCTCACTTTTTTTTTTTTTTTTTTTTTTTTTTTGAGATAGGGTCTTTCTTAAATAGCTCAGCCTGGCCTCAAGAACTTATGATCCTCTTGCTGTAGTCTTCCGAGTGCTGGGATTAGACACACACCACAGATCACCATATGCGGATCTTTCTCTTGAACTTTGCTGCCTTGAATAGAGCTTTGCTCACAAAAGGCCCCCAAGGCCTCACAGCTGTCCTTGTTGCTTCCTTGTGCAGGTTTCATGGCCTGCATGTGGATCTCCCAAATGCTGCCATTTCACTGTCTCACTGTTGCCTCTTTGAACCCTCAACTGCAGGAAGACTCAGGATCCTTGCAGTGTTGGAGACCATACCCAGGACTTCATGCATGCCAGCAAGCACTCTACAAACACAGCTACATTCCCAGCCCCCAAATGACATCATTTTTGTTAAAAAGGTTTAAATGTGTTCATACGCACACCCACAACTCTCAAAAAGATGCATCAAAAGTTATATATGGGAGGGGGGCCTGGAGAGATGGCTCAGTGTTAAGAGTGCTGGTTATTACTGAAGAGGAGCTGAGTTCGGTTTCCAGCATCCACACAGTGGCTAACAACCATCCATTCCTCTAGTTCCAAGGGATCTGATGCCCTCTTCTGACTTCCATGGGAATTGCAAGCATGGTTATATCTACATACATGCAGGCAAAACACTCATACAAATAAAAAAACATAAAAAAAAAAGTATATACAGTAGGGCTGGAGAGATGGCTCAGTGGTTAAGAGCACTTGCTGTTCTTGCAGAAGACCCAGATATGGTTTCCAGCACCCACATGGTGGCTTACAAGCATCTTAACTCCAGTTCCAGGAGATCTGACGCCCACTTCTGACTTCCATGGGCACCAGACAAGCACATAGTGCACATACATGAGCAGACAAAATACATACAAGTAAAATAAAAATAACTCAGGCTGGGTGCGGCACCATGCCTTTAATGCCAGCACTCAGGAGTCAGAGGCAGGTGAATCTCTGTGAGTTCAAGTCCAGACTGGTCTACATAGTGAGTTCCAGGCCAGCTGGGACTACAAGGAGACCCTGTCTCAAAAAGATCAA